ATTAAAAAACTATGAAAAAGTCTTTGCTTCTCTAAATATAACAAACTTTTTACTATGTATTTCTAGTCAAGATGAAAATCTTTATTGTTGCTTACTCATTCTTTTAATATTCTAGATAGTTTTCACTTAATACTTTTTGTTTTTTTCAACGAATTAGTGTCAACGCAATTTGACAAACATATTCTTTGTATGCGCATATGACTCACTAAAAAACAGAAACAGTTTTTTTCAAAACAAAGAGTTTCCTAGTGAAAACATTTTTCTATTTTTGTCTTTTATCATAAATACTCTAAAGCTAATCTTTAGTTTAGATTATTTATTGATCTTACGTAAGATCACCTAAAATATCTCTATTATTATTTCAAAGCAAAAAAGAAAACATGTCTTTCTATTCTTATTTTATTCCGGAATGCTGAATTGTATAATAATATTTTTTTGGTGATATTTTTCATATTTGTATAATTTTTTATATTTATAGGAAACTCTTCCAGGTTCTAGTAAATATACATGACACTGACAGATCATTTTTAGCCTAGGCTCCTATTTTTAGAATGCTCCGAGTTAGACTTTGAAGAAGTTTAAAATAATGACTTATTTTATTACAGATAAACTTTTCTCAATAGGCGCGAAACCATTATTTTATAATAGATATTCCATTCATTATTTGACTAATCTAATGAAATATCTTTGATCAATTGGACAAGCATTCAAGATGCTCTGAAATTTGTTTAGATAGTTGAATGATTTTGGTTATTTGGTGTATAAATGAGAAAAATGTTTTGAATGTTGATTAACATTGATCGTTTTGAAGTAGAATAATTGAAGCGTACGTTCTATTGATTCTGTTGATAATCATACTGCATTCGTAACCATCCTTATCCAATAGCATAGACTCAATCTCTAGCAATTCTGAGCTCTGAATGCTAGTTCTATTTTGAGATATATTGTATTAGTATCACTTGTAAATATGAAGACGTATGAACTCTGGTACACACCTGAAAAGTCTGTTCATCGCCCCTAGCATTTGTCTACATCTTTTACTGATATTTTCTAGATGATACTTCTACGTCAGATCTGGTGAAAGATACACGCCTAACAATTTAATGTTTTTATCTAATAAAAGCGATTTCCCAGAAACATAAAGTAAGGATATTGATCAGGAAGCTTAAAATTGAAAAATGGCATATAAAAACATTTTTCTGTATTTAAATCGATCTCATTTTTTACACACCAGTCAGACATGATATCTAAAAGCTTTTGAACTTCTCAAAAAAAAACCTTAAAATTCTGAAGAGGAATTAAACCAAAAACATTGTTAGCAAAAAGCGATGCTGTCATTGTAGAAGGAAGTTTCTCATTCAAATCGTTCATGAAAATCAAGAAAAATCAAGAGCCAAGGACTTAGGGCACTCCAGATGTAACTTGTGCTGCTTTAGATTTTTTATTAGTGATTACTACCATTTGCTCTCTATCCGATAAATACGAGTGAAACCATTCAAAAAGACTACCGGTCACTTGTGCTCTACTTAACTTTTCTAATAATATTTGATGACTAACTCTATCAAACACCTTAGCAAAATCAAACGCAACTCCTAATGCTATCCTTTTTTCTTCTAAAATCTTTATTAGTTAAATTCTAACATACAATAGCGCATCAGCTGTGGATGGATTAGCTCGAAAACCAAATTGCGTTAATGTGAAAAAACTAATTTTATTTAAATGTCTGACTAGAGATTTATGTACCAATAACTTAAAAATTTTACTTATGTTTGATAGTAAAGAAATTGGTCTGTAATTAGAACATTGACTACACGATCCTATCTTGCGTATAGCTCTTACTAAGGCTTTCTTCCATGTTTTCAGAAAAACTCCTTTTTTAATTTTAGAATGAAATAAATGGTGGAGCCGAGGTGAGATTTTGTCAGAACAGAGCTTTAAAAAATTTAATATTGCGTTCGTAACCATCATTATCCAATCGCATAGACTTAATCTCGAGCGATTCTGAGCTTAGAATGCTAGTTATATTTGGAGATATATTGCATTAGTATCACATCATTCGATGAGCTCTTTTCTTTTACATGATATAGCTATTATATATGAAACTGAAACAAGACACCATTTTTTCAATTGACGATCATACTTGATTGTAATACAAAAATACTGTTTGTCCAAGATAACAACATCATCAAGATAGTTTATAATAAAATAAAATAAATATAAAACTTTTAATTTATTTAAAATATGATGATAAAATTTCATCGCGATTCAATTCGAAATATTCTTTAAATAATTTATTAAGAAATATGATTTTCTGTTATTGAAAATTATACATTTCATCTCTTTCAAATCTCTGGTGAACTTCGTACCTGCATTTATTGGTGTATGCGAGCGTCTGAAGGAAAGTCTATTCATATAGCAGTAGTGTATGACAAAAATGGTTGCCAATAAATGTATGGATAGAATTTTTGGAAGAAAATTGAGTGCGCGACACTGAAAGTGGTAATAATAAGAATTTAAGTTCATGTAATTTTATTCAAAATTAGATTATAACTAGAGACTTGAAACCCTATCTGACCCCAGTTACAGATTAGGTTCTAGTTGGATTAGTACCAAGTTGGTTAAGATACATTTTCTTAATCCGTGCATTTCTCTAATTATAACTGAAAAATCTTTGATTTTATTTCATCAGTTTACTTACTATAAAATAAATAGATATTATAGTAAAAGTTAAGAGACAAATATTTATTCTTAATGAAAACAAACTTATAAAGCTTTGATTCGTCCACTCGTATCTATCAACATCTATCTTAAATATGTTAAGCATCGAAAAGGAAACAGATGGTTTGCCAGTGTTATAAGTTTTTAACAAAATATATTTCATCTGAGTGAACAAGATTAATTTTCTGCCATCACAGTTTTTTTCCTCATCTAAAAGAAATCTATCTCATTTTTCTACTAAACTACTAAGTGAGATCGATTTATTTTCCTCATTCGTTGATAAAAAATTTTGTGATCTTTAAGTTATATTGACGAAATAATAACCTCTTTTTTCTCACACTTTTGAATTTTCAAGATCTTAGCATGTTTAAGATAACCGTTTTACATTCAGAAAACCAAAAAGTTTCTGAATAAAAATGTTTTCCACTATTTTGAGTAAGGAATTAGGTCAGATATACATTTTATAACTAAGTTAACACGCATAATTTTGAAACAACGAGATAACGCATTAATGATTTTCAAATCGAATTAACTTTACTTTGATGAGGGCTAAGTACTAATGACACACGCAATGGTTTTTATCTTTAATGAAACTTGTTGTTGCACAACTCGAATGTTGTTGTTCGGATGGTGTGCATTCTGATTATCATTGACAGTTAAATCAATAAGACAAAAGATTTATCAGACAAAATAAACGAAAAAATGGATCTTTATCCTTATACAAAAGGTAAAACGACAATGTACAAGCATTCTTTCTCGTCGAATAGTTACTCATTAAAGCACTAGCCAATTTTTTAAATTAAAATACTGAATGGTCTATGTCTCTCTCTGAGCAATCCTTGTCGGTTGTATAATGTAACAACCAAAACGTTAAAAAAAGCAGTTTTTCAATGTAATTATAAAAGGTTTTAAAATTGTTAGTTTGTTTCTCTTTCCCTAAAGAAGTCAACGAGAAAAAACAAAAATGGGACAAAAATCCATTTCGTAGTCGAGATTTAGATTTTTGTGAACTAATAGACGAAGAAAAACAATGGAAAGCAAAAGTAATATGATCACTACCATTCAACAACAATATCACCAACAACTTGTGTGTAACTTATTTTTTACTAACCTTACGGCGTCTAGCAGCGCTTATTTGAATGCATGACGAATGAATTTTTACGCGTTTATTCAAAACTCTTGGAGTAGGTTCACGTATGTCTACTTGTTGCATTCACGCGTGTCCACGGATAAAACTTATTCAACAAACTTATGGCTTGTCGATCACCGGTGTCTACGTAATAGCAGATCCATGAGCCCTGTAGACAGACAAAGTCGAAGAAAACAATGTCTACGAGTCATACACTGCGCATGAAATTTTGAATTTTTTACTAAAATTCTATTTCTTTCAAAAAAGGTGCCATTTTCAATGAACTTTGGAGTCAATTTTCAGAATTAAACATACTATATTAAATCTGATGACTCTATATGATAGAGCCAGTCCAATTGTACAATATTCGGTATTAATTGGTGTTCATGATGCTTATATAAATGGTTGGCAATGGGAACAGTGAAAATGTTCAATGATTTATGCATACAAAATACGATAACTCATCGTTTAAACACGTGGCCACTAGTGGAGTGATATATGAAACATTTTTAACTTATGAATAATTTTCTATAAATTATATATATCAAGTTCCCGCACGTTAGATTGTGTATTAAACTAAAAGCACTATAAGCAATTTCCGACAGGTTGCATCATGACCATGCGCGTAGCTCTTCATTAGTGATCATATAGGTCTAAACTCTGAATGAGCATCATATGTGAAAATATCTTCACACGATGGATATACTTGGTCAATTGTGTAAAAGTCATTTTCAACGTGCTGCGATACCATGAGACTAGTAAAAAGCTGCAAATGGATAGAATATCGTGACATTTTAAATGTTTCTAGAATCGCGAATTACGTTTGCAAAAACGAACGTGCGAGAAGAGTAATGGTTATGCTAATAGACGAAATCTATGTCACGACCAATTAATTAATGTTAGTAAAGATGGACCAGAACGTACGGTAAAATAATTTGGTGAGACAATAATAACAACATACAGTTTTCTCATCTTTCTGTCGTTCAAGTATAGGCTGATCGCGATAATAAACATTTATCGGATGTCGATCGTTCATGGATAATTGCTCATACACAAAGTAGATGATAAAATTTTTAACTGAGCTAATGAGTCTTAAAATAGTTGAAAATTTTAGATTGTCGAAGTGATCACAAAAGTTTACATGAATATATTCGAAAAAAACATGAAATATTTAGATTACAAGTATAACTGTCAATACTTCTAGACTTATACATTTAGTGCTTTAAATTCATTTTAGTATATTCTCAGTGTTAAACGAAACGAAATAGAAAAAATGGAACAACATCTGCGAGAAGAAGAACGAGTCATAACCGTAGCAGAGAAACAACTGAATGAAGATTCGGCTTTATTCGATCAATTTCTCGAGTCTAGTGCGAGATCAGCAAATGCAGCAGCAATGCAGTAAGCATAGAATTTTCCAGTGACAATTTTACACCTCTCAAATCTCTATCTTCAATTGTTAGGGCAGAAGAAGAGACCCGAAAAAAGGAAGAACGTGTCAGTGAAATAAAACGTTTACAAAAAACACTTATCGCTGGAGAAAATGATAAAATACAATTAGCTGGTATGACAACTCTTGTCATACTAACTGCTTGTATCTCAATTCTAATTTAATATTGTTTTAGATACACTGAATCAAGGTAGACGATATCAAAAATTTCTCTTCAAGTTTGCACCGACGGTAAAATTAATAATGAATGTCAATATAACTAGAAATGTATTTAGTTTTGTGCTAAAGGACTGGCAAAATGCTGTTCTGAAACAGCAATCATCTGAACGTAAGAAAACTTTTGTTAACCATGAAAGATACCCTTTATTTTATGGACAAGTAGGTAACAAGTCAAAGTTATCGATATCTGATCTGACAGACCATTCAACGACGATTGATAAAAACAAACTGAGGTAAATAACACAACCTTACGTAAAGATGTGTAGCTTATTTGAACCTCTTTTGAGCCTTTTGTCGATGAAGTCAGCTGATATTAATTTGATGTCCATAATGGGATCAGTCGATGAGGATTTAATTAATCAAGAAGTGATTATGATTGTTGGGTGTGTGATAATTTTTATGAGATGAGATAAAAAATTTTTCAGGAATATGATTTGTATTTTACCGATGCACAACAAGTATTAGACATATTCAGTGAAATCGAAGAAAAAAGTTTACCATTAGTTCAAAAAACTCAGAACGCCGTTGAAGTAAGAAGGAAACTTCAGATATGTGATAAAAAAGTATTCAGAAAATTGTAAAATATTATCGATATAGCAATTGGACGATATGCGAGAAAAAATTGAAGAAATAAATAATGAGAAAACATTAGAAATTGAAAATTTACAAATGCAAATACAACGGCTAGAATTAGAAATAAAGCAAATGATAGACCGAGAAAACGAATGCAATAATCGAATTATGTAAAACTAAAATCGTTTATATTATAGAATAATCAAATGTTCTATTTCTTTAGGCATTATAAAAAAGGAGAACAAGATATTCTATTAACAGATTTAAATGATGGTGTCGAAGTTCTTTATAATAAACATCTAGCAACAAGTGGAGAGGGTATGTCAACGATTCGAATGCTAAGTGCAATTGAAACAAGATCAGAAGAATTATTTAGTACAATTGAAAGAATGAATCAACAGAAAATTGCTGAAGCAGAAAAAGTATCAGCTTCGAATTGTTGTATGATATACTCACACTTACTTTTTGTTACTATGTTTAGTTTCGTGAAATTGAAGTGAGAACAGTTGAGCGTATTGAAAAAATGCATCGTGAAGAAACATTCGCCAAAGAAAAACGTCGAAAGGCGCTAGCACGATCACTCTCGCCACCACACCCAAAATCTGGGCGTCCTCTCATGGAACGAAGTCGCCCACTGGTTAGAAACAGAGAATTTCATAAACGGAAAGAAAAACACAAAATTGTTAACGAAGAAGAGAAGCTAATGGTCCTTCTCTCGTGATACCTTGACAAAGTTATCCATTGAATACAAAGATGTATTTGATGGTAAAATAATTTTTGAAATTTTATAATGTGTATTGTTCAACAACAGTTGAATATTTACCAACACTACAATTGTATCTTTTTTTCTTATTGTTTTTCGATGATGAATTGCTTAAATAGTTACCACTATAATCTGTTTAAATGTAACAAAACTTTCCTTTAGTTTTAAATTCAAGCATACGCAGTAGTGAGTTTTTATCAAATATTAACGACAAGAAAATGAGTTTGAAAAGTAAAAGGATCAGGCAACTTTTTAAGGGACACACGAGTTTTCATGTTCATTGATTTCAATGCGCGCGTGGGTAAACCGAGAAAAATAACAAATAATCAACGAATACATACAGACAGTTCCATCTACTAAAATTATTTGAACAGGAAACTTTATAGCGACTATAGTCTTAATATTATTCTGACACATATGATCAAGTAACTTTCATGTCTATCATTATATTGTCCTATTTTATTTTAAATGATTCTAAAGGATCCGAGTTCGTTAGATTTGTTTAAATTCGATGTATTGTAAAGATTCTTCTGGTAAAACTTCGATTTACACAGAAGATGAAGGTAGACTCAAGTCAAAATTAGGCAAAAAACAAAAAAAGATCGAAAAATGTTAAAAATATATGGATAAAATTAACGGGATCTGACGATGTTTTTTGTTAATCATCATCTGGGACTTCACATCATCAGTCATAGTCATAGTCGATCATAGTCGTTGGTTGTCAACATATGTTAGTATAGGTGATGAAGTGTCGCTTGAGCTTCTGGAAGGAAAACATAGTTAGAAGTCTTTAATCGACGTTCATTAAATCAATTAAAAAATTGGAATGTGCTCTGGAAAAGGGCAAATTTACTGGACGGGGACAGAAGTGCTTCATAACGGTAAAAAAGAGGGAAAGAACTATCTCAGGAAACCAGAAATTTTTTTGTGCCCACCTCTCCTAAAAGTCCTGGCTACGTAGCCGACTGACAAGAAGGCCGTTTCTCTTCAAAATTCTTGTAACAGGTCCACAACTTTCACCCAGCGTTGCACCCTTTTCCCAACTAAACTATTCCCCCTGATTTTTCGTTCAACACGGCACTATGAATTAGTGTATGTGATATATTTCTTTTATCCGATGGCTTCTGGTGACAAAAAAGTCTTCAACACCTATGGTCAATCTTAAATTCGAAACTACAAATGAATGTGTATGACTATAAGATTTTAAATAAGAACAACTTTTTTTCTGATATTTCATCGTTGATTGATGCCATATCATCTAAATCTTCTTAACATGTCATCAGTACATAGGATATTAAATCACAACAAAATAAACAACTTATGTCACTACTAGTACATAGCATACTTGATTGATATAATGAATTATATATTTGTATAAGAATGATTTCCGAAGAAAAATATACACGTTCTTTGTCCTCAAATTTAAATCTCATCTTCTAAATTATATACAAGAAGACAAAAGCAAGAGAAATGAATTAAAAATTGTTTGGCCACATAATTTTTTTTTGTATGCTCATTCGGTTTTTTTAATAGTCGTGATCATCTTACATTGTGTTTCTAACAAATTACATTATGGTAGCGTCTATCTATCATGGTAACACTAGATTGACATTCTAGTTATTACTAAAATAAACGATATGTTTCTCTGTTTTTATTCCTCTATTTGATAAAGTTTACTATATTCTATGGTATAGATAAACGTTGTTCAAATGAAAAACACTAACATCTAGATCATATGCAACAATTCAAGAAGAGGATCACAACAACGGCATTGTCACCACAATATATTGGTTTTCTATTGATTTGTTTTTCGAATGTGCAGAAGACTAACTCTGATCCGGCAGACAGAAAAGGTACATCGTGATTTATTTATTTTGACGCATTGATTAATTAGATAAGTAATTCTTGTGAACTGACACAGTTTTTCAACTCCTTTAAAAAAAATAGATTATTTTTATTCTCATTCGAGTTTAGAAATTAAATTAAAAATAAAAATCGTCAAAATGTGCCTCTAAGATGTATAAAATGATCAAATCTTACTAATCGACGACATATGTGGGATATCAACAGTATGAAAAGTTATACACTAGTCGGTTGAGAGAAGATTATGCAATGAACTCGATAGGATTTTGTCATATTTTTAACTATAGTTTGTTCACTTCCGAAAAACGAAACTTTGTTTGTAATATATGACGATAATGTGAGGAAATACTATTGAATATGTGTGTATTTCATTTGTAGATATGATACTTATGTCACAATGGGAAGGTACGCATTATATTTTCATGCTCGAAAACAATTTTAATATGGTTTTTGATTTATAGGAGAAAATGTTGTTATAGAAAATGTGCCGATATATCGTCGTTGTGTAGGTATCAATGTAAAATTGCAAATGATACATTATCTTCATTATTTATTTATAATTTAGGAAGTTGCTAATGCAGATAAAGTATCAGTAGAGTTTCAGGGTATATTTGGACGAATGACTTTGCCTGTTGAGTACATTAAACTAGAAAGAACGAGATTAGAAAATAGTGGTTTTTATTATTGTCACGGTGAATATCATGACGGAAACAGCAGTAGAAAAACATGGCAATTCACACTCGACGTCCTAGGTATACTTAACAATTATAATCATAGAATCAATATGCCAAATAATTTTTTATTTGAATGGTCAGATACGGTCTATATGATTTGTATTAATGAGATCACACCATCTACAAGTATTTCGTTCGTTATTAAATGAATCTCGATATTGTTTTTCTCAACTCTAGAGATGTGCAGAATAGCTGATTTTCATGCTCTATGTACGACAGTGTAGAATAGAAATCATGGCAATGTATGCCATTCTTTAGTAAGCTTTTGTTTTCTTACCACTCTATAGGAATCTACGTTATAGTGTATACACTGTAAAAAAAAATACGTCATTGTAGACGCCATATTTCTTCTGTAATGAATCGGGTACAGCATATTCAATGTGTCATCTACCAGGGCATATTCATGTGCCTTTTAATGTGTCCAAAATTTGTGCTTAATTCATCGCAAAAAATGTGGCGTCTATGCATTGGATGTGCCCATTATATATCAAGTTTGTTTTAACTTATATCTGAGGAAATATATAAGCAAAAAGAAATGTATTGCCTAGTTTTTCTTCGGATTAATTCCGAAGATAATTAAGATGACAAGACACTTCAAATCATGTAGTTCCTATCAAGGATCCATACAGGCGATGGGATTAAACGAAGCGTTTTTGCGATGGGATTAAATCAATAAGCCTCGTTTGAAAAATTTTGAATTTATTGTATAGACGCGCTTCCGTGAAACAAAAAAATATTTTCGTAGAATGAATATCTCTAGAGACTTATATATCTTTCGTTTTTTAGCTTCTCCAAAGTTTCTTGAAAACTTAGCATCAAATTTATCCATTAATTATGGTGAACCATTTGTTTATATCTGTAAAGGGCTCGGTAATCCCTTGCCAAAAGTGGTAAATACTCGCTCTTTCTTAGGAACATGTAAAACTAATTTTTTTGTTATGTGCTTTCTAGAGCTGGTTATTTAGAAATAAATATCACGATTTTCAGCCAATATCTGATAATCCATTATTGAGAATAATCTATTTCGCTGAATCTGATGAGGGAATTTATAAATGTAAATTAGAAAACAAACTAGGTGAAATTGAACAAGACATGGAGGTAGATATATGAAATGCGACTCACAATGGTAAAAAGACTATATTTCAGCCTGTTACTAGATATACAATGCTTTCTTAGATTCACTTATATAAATCTCTAAAGTTGTTAACAACCGTTACGCTTACTTTTAGGTCTTACTTAAACATTCATCAACAGGATTTGGTAAATTTGAATATCTTCTCTTTTAAAATAGAATCATTTCTTGTATTTAGCTGCTCCCATGTTAATCAGCGACTGGGAATCACGTGTAGTTATTTCTGAAAACAGTAGTTTTTCACGTCAATGTCTAGTTAGTGGATCACCCAATATGTCTGTGACTACTTGGTTTACCGATAAATTTGGTCATATATTTAAATTCAGAGGTATTTCTTTCAATTGGATAAAACTTGTTTGTAAAGCAATTGTTACTATTTTTTATCTTTATCTAAGATACAAGAATTGATCTTCCACACGTTCAATTCGAACATAGTGGAGCATACACTTGTACAGGTGGACATAATACATTTTATTATTTTAAATAATTATTCATTTCTGAATGTTTGTTTTCCAGCAAATAATCCACACGGCATAGGCACATGGACATTTATGTTGGAAGTCGTAGGTTAGAAAAATGCATGTACGACATAAGTCTTTCTTTTTAAATAATGTCAACTGTATTAATATTTTTTCAGAAAATACTAATTTTTTCAAACCTTTAATACCTTACCATGTCTACGTACCTTACGGGAGTATGTTTGTGAAAGTTTGCGATTCGAATGTGAGCCGTTTTGTTCTTAACGTTAAAAATAAACAAAGAGGACAGCGATATTTAGAGTTATCCAAATCCACAGACATATTGGTTATATAGGCCGATGGGTCGACCAGCATTTGAAGTCATCACAGATTCATCCATGTTATCACTTCCACGTATTGGATTTGAAAATAGTGGAACATACAAATGTATCATACAAAATCAATACGGACTTATGGAACAAGGTAGTATAAAATGGTGACAGTTATAAATACTTTAATCTTAAAGATAATCATTTTCAGAAATTAATGTTGACGTTGTCGGTGAGTGATATAGAAATTTGGATTTTCATGATTTCTTTTAAATCAGTTATGTCATTTAAGATAGTGTGCCATGTCCTGATCCATTTGAGATATCAACGTATCCACATCCATTTCGATACAATTCGTTTTTGCAATGCAATCAAGGACATTTGAACGATTTCAGTTGCAACGCCCATCATATGTGGGACCATTATGATCATTCTTGTATGCCATTTGGAAATTTTCGTAAGCAGAAACTGTCTGAAATCTAGCTGCATCAATATTATGCTCTAAATAACTAAGATTTCTTGATTTTTAAGATTATCATCATCATCACCATTATGATCACGTACATCCAAATTTTGATTTGGGTTAGAAAGACCATTCAACTGCCTTTCAAAAGCAAAACTTTGTGTGTTTTTTTAGACGATTATTATGGAAGAAGTTCATTTATCAAACGAGACGAAAGTCGAAATGAACCATCATCCATACGTTCATCTTCTGTAGATAAAAATCAAATGATCGATCGTATTAGATATCATCAATTGGGTGTAGCAAAAACGTTAAAACAAAATCCGAAATATGCTGATGTTTTACAATTCTATAGAACTATGCATGATAGAAATACGAGACACACTGGTTTTTTATTGTAGATAATACAAACAGATAATAATAACTGAAATCCACATTAAAAGTTAGAGTTTAAAAGTTTTTAACTTTGGAACATTTTTTCTTTACAGCGTAGTAATTACAAATTAGTCCTATTTTATCGGATCATATTTAAGTTAATTTTGGGTTATACACATTTGTTTACAAGAAAATTAAGTAGCCAAAAAAACATCAGACAAAACTTTGAAATTAATAAAAGTACAGTATGAGTTTTTCTTAACAATCCTGACATTTAAAGAATGTTATCGTCTTGCGTTTATCAAGTCAAAAAGCCCGCAACAGCTAATGACAAAAAGTGTTTCAACTCGCTTTTTGTACTTTCAGGAGAAAGTATTAATGATTTCAATTAAAAATAGGCAGTGTTTTAATTTGCCGAGTATAATAATGCAAATGTTGCAAAAGGCAGTTACTGTCAATTTTCCTCATAAGTGAATCACTTTTCACAAAAAATTGTTCAAACATGTGCCTCTAAATCTGAAATACAGCTCTCTGATAGATAATTCTGATGTAAATGGTCTATAAGGAAATAGAACGGAAAAAGTACTAAACTGTGTATTTAAAATTCTTCTTTTGTTGTCTGCATATGCTGTACTCATCTGATTTTCTGAGCAATTTTTCTCCAAATTACATCTATTTCATTGCTGAATATAGATCAATTGACCAGTGTACGATCAGCTGTTGTGTAGAAAGAAAGAAGAAAAGACAGACTCTATATTTTTCTTTCTATATACATCGCGATTCTCTAAGGAATAATAAACTATGCAATTCTATGAAGATAGTTTCTCTCTTTCTCTATATATATAGAACTTTTCCGTCTCTTTTTCTCTACTTTCATGTCTTCGTTATAATTCAAAACGATGTCGACAATAAAAAAACCGCGTACTATACATTTCAACGTCAATGTTAAATGTCATTCAGGTTGCGTGTAAAGTCTATTTTCTACAAAAAAAAGTATCGTTAAACTTACAGTTTGTCATAATAGCGAAAATGGTTATGGTTTCTTAGGTAATTGATAGTTTAACCAATAGAGAATCATTTACGAAGATGATGTTATATAAAGAAATTCCTCTGTTTCTTGTCAAATGAACACATTTTCGTCTCTTTGTTAGTATCCCTAATGCCTCTCTTCCGACACTTGCTATAGATCTGACTGTAGGAAAAGCTTTAATCATTATTCATAAAATAACTTTAACTAATCATCTGCATTTTGTTTCACACAAGTACAACATCTAGAATAGGAGGGAAAGAATGCAACACTTGATAATGCACAAAGAGAAAAGTTTTTTTTATCGATTATGTAATAAAAATGTGTAAATGTGGAGTAATCTTTTCCAGTACAGTATACACCCCAGAAGAAAGGAAAAAGGTCAATCTTTCTCTCACTCTTTCTCTCAAAAGCAAACTGTATTGTATTACTTTTCTCTAACATACATATACGTAATAAAAATGCGTTGCCTGTCTATATATTTTCTTTTTCTAAATCCATTTGAAATGATCGTTATCATCAAAATTGAACCTTGACTGAAAAACACATAGCCCAAAAAAACATTTTTTGTTTTGGCTCACATTTGAGGCTTTAAAATATAAGCAAGTGTTGAACATTGAGTAACAACGGTATTAGATAATGATAAGTATATGTAAGCCGCATACATTAAGACAAAAAAAATGTTGAACAAATGTCATCTATTTCAATACATTTGTCTCCATTATGAATAGTGAGCTGTGTCATAGAAAGCATGTTGTTTACCGTTACATTTAGACATTCTTATAATTATAGTTAATAGTAAGTAAATGTCGCATATCCACAGCATAAAGAATGAATAGATAGATTCATTTACTTCTCAGATCCTCTCGAAAAATGATGAATAATTATCAAATTTTGAGACAGTTTTGTAGTGGATAATAGTTGTTTGTTTGATAGCACCATTTATTTATCTTCAGACCGTAATTTTTTTTTGGATATTTGGTCTCAATTCTGTAGTTTCCTAACTGAGATACAAAATCGTCCTATTTGACTTTGTAAGATCAGGCAACATCAACGGGGACAACTAAAACTGAGTGTGAATTTGCAAAAAAAGAATCTCAGTTGGGACATAGCTCTCTCTCAATTCATCTTTTCAGTTATTTCATTAAATCTTAACATTTCTATCCTTGATCGTAATTGAAGCATATCTCATTTGACATTGAAGCAACAATCGGACCAGTAACTTTGTTTTTGTAACAGTGAGAGAAGAAGGTACGTGACTAAAGTGTTAATCTGAGATGAAGGATCGACTCTTCGATCTAAATCTTTTTTTTCTATAATCACAAAATAAAAATAAATGTTTTATTTTTCTCCATTTCAGATTTATTTTTATCGACAATAATAAGAAAGAAGAAGAAGAAGAAGAACATTTGAACATATAAAGTGTGTATGTGTATAGTTGTACATAAAAAACATTCATATTTTTCTCTCCTTCGATGGATATAAAGTACATTACAACCATAAACGATAACATCTTAAAAGCATAATGACAAACATGAAAAATATTAGTTATAACCGTACAGATATTTACTGTGAATATAATTTGCCATCATCTTACGATTTACCATGGGTTGTAGCCTATTCTTTTCTGGCTGTTGTTGGCTTATTCTATACCATACTTGGTAAGTAGATTTTATCTTTGATTTTAACTATTATTATGTGTCTTATTTTTAAGGTTATCGTTGGTGGCGATTGACAATGTTTATAACTGCATTTACTCTATCATCCCTACTGTTGTATATAATTTTATCAACTCAACAAAGTTTAAATGAAGCACAAATAATTGGTATATCTTGTTCAATAGCCGTTTTATTTGGTCTAATCGGTTCACTGTTACAGTATGTTGGACTATTTGAACAAGGTTTTTGTTTTGGTTTAATATTGTCTATAGCAACATTTATCATTTGGGATCTTAGTCGTCATATAACTAATTTTTGGATACCTATTATTCTCATTATTGGCATCGGCTCGATATGTGCAATTATAACATTACGTTTTCAAAAATTAATGATTATTGTCACATCATCGTGTTTAGGATCAGTATGTCATTTTATTGTACTAGATTATTTTTTACAAAATTCATTATTACTCATTTATATACATAAACGATTTAAATTTGAAGATACAAGATCTATTTGTTTAAAGCATTGGTTAGTAACAATTGTTTTAGTGATAACAACTGTTATGGGTATTTTAATACAGTACAGTTGTACTGGACGAAATTATGATCATCGAGATTCATGGCAACAAAGTATGTTTTTATCTTAAAAATTCATCTGTCTCTGTCTATATATAGTTTTCTTATGTCTTGTAACTATGACATCTGCTTATGGAAAAATCTTTATAGATGAAACTGTTCGCTTTAGCGTTATATCCTAGAAATATTTAGTCTCGTTAATGGTAGGAAGAGAAAATAGTTCTTGACCATATCAATGTTTGTACTTCAAGTGTTCGCAATTAACTTGTAATCATTGATTCTTCTACATCAGACGTATATCAGTAATAGAACAGCATACCCCTTTTACACATATATCTTGGAGTGAATAATAGCCTATGGTGTTTTTTAAGATTATTATTCAATAATGTCATGTCGTGTTCTGTTTGATGCATGAGGTACTTGGGCATTTTTCTCACATCATTCTGTTGTAAAAAGTATAGAATATGAAGGAAAAAAATGTGCGATGTCTGCTGAGTATCTATGTTAAACATTTTATGTTTTGATTACTTCTAAAAACGATAGACTCAGATATAAGTATACCGATAAAAGAAATCTTACGAGAAGATCAAGTAGTAGAAAATAAAACAATGTAGAATGTTTTTGCCTTTGGAGCCAAAATAATTCAGTGAACTTTCTTCATGTTTCATTTGAGAAGGAATTAAAGACGCGAATGCCGTTATTTAACTATAATAATTGAAGACAAACTAGATTGTATATTTTTGACATTCGACTAATCGTAACATGAAAATAAAGCACAAAACTTTTAATCATATTAATAGCCGTCAGGTTTCACACACACCTATCGTATTTCATTTGTTAAAAACCGATATTGTTCTCTCGTTCATTCGAATAATTGCTTTTAGTGTGTATGTATTTGTCTCATTTTGAGTTGATAGATCTATCAGCTGTTCACCTTTTAAATTAGAGAAAAGAAAATTATTTCGTTCACCTTGAAATAGGTTTTTTCCTGTTGTCGGACTACTTTTTAGCTTTATTTTCCAGCTGTACGTGTATGGCATGGCATTCGGCTTTTTTTCTCTTCTTATCAACCAATGTGTATGTATATGTACCAGACTGCAGTATGTGTATGTATGTGTTCACTGACCTTGAACTCTATCTTCGAGATCATTAACATTCATAAACATGTCAAAATCTATTATGTTTTCTTTAATATGAATTAGTGAACATTGTACATTTATACTGATGATTTCGTGTGGAATGGGTATTATGAACAGTATAATCTCCTTGAGATTATCAATATACTCATGCTGATTTACAATCATGTTTTTCTATATATTCTCTGTAGCCTACAGTAGCTTATTGATAGGAATAATTAATTTATTTACATTATCTGTTGACAAAAATGACGATTAAAACAACTTGTAATAAGATAATTCTTATTCATAATTGTTAAGTTTACATTCTAATCTTCTGTATCACATTCTTTGATAACGTTGATGAGTTCATTTAAAAAACTGTCATATCAAGAGCTATTCTTCAAACAATGAACAATACTGATAAAAATAATGTTATTTAGTTTGAAAATGACTACTATAACTTGGTAGAATTTCCAGTTATAAAAACAAATTAGTTAAACGATACTTTCATAGACACTATCATAATATTTTGAGTATATGGCAGCGCATATTACTCTTATCTCTTAAGGCTTTCCATGAAGTTTTTATACATAAATTCACTAACTAAGACGAAGTAACTAAGGCAAAAAGATGATTAGAAAATATCCAATAGCTTCGTATCTTTTACGTCCTCTAGGCTATATATTAAATAGCGAATGAAATTCATATGGTATTTCCATAATACTGTCTGTTATCTACTAACAACCTTTTATACAAGGACAACATTGAGTAACTATACTCAAATTCACTTATCTCTTAATTAAGTATTATATAGAGTAATATTTCATTATATCTGATCGATTGTTAAAAGATGTTCGAAGGATACAGGTAATGTTTGTGTTAATTATTAAAATTATATGTTACAATTCTCCATTAGATGTCTCTAAGTTTTGTGTTTCATGATTGTTTGAGCCATCTAATTAATATAAATGTGTGACCTGAAAATGTCTACATGTCAAGAATATGATTTTAAACAACTAATTGGGACTTTTATTTTTGTTTTTTAATGATCGTGTGCTCTTTTTTCATTTTCTCATACATAGATGTGTTAGAATTGAAATGGTCATTGTTTGTCTTTCTCGTCTGTAAAATATTTCATACATAAGAAAAAAGAACATACTTTTTTAGTTGAACAATAAGATTTAGATTGAAATTAAAGAATCCATTAAACATAACATAAATGTGGAGAGGAAATTAAACAATTCATGATTTTAATGATTGTACTTGTTTTGATGTCAATAGCAACAATATATGAGTGGTTTGAACAAGCAGCGCACCTTTGTTGCCTTTATCATATTGAAAAGAAGAAAAAAAAAGAGAAAATATTAAAGTTAATGTTTGATCATTGAGAACCGAGCAAGAGACAGTTTGATTATAATTTGAGAGGCGCGTACCAGGAAACTCTATGTATTATAGGAAAACGTTTTCTTTTATTTTTTAAAAATATTTCTTGTATGTACTTCACTTTCAACATATTTTTATCTAATAGACAAAAGAATATGATACAATGAGAAATAAAAAGTATTTTCCGAGTATGCTACTTGTATAAAACAAATTATGATCTATAATACTTGATTCCTTTTTACATTCTATAATTGCTTATATAGTCAATGAATTTACTCATATCACTGAGAGAAATATTACTCTTTATCTATATCAAGGATGAAATATCATCTATAGTGTTCATTATCTCTTTTTTTGTGTTTTAGTAATTAGTGCTGGTAAAAAACGATATAAAACAGCAAATTTAAAGAAGATTCGTCGACATTATGATCAAAATTCGGATACATTACGTGAACAAATAATTCCTAATGATTCACACGCACGTTTTCGTTATTTTTATCGTATTCGACGTGCCAATGGCGATGTACTCTCACAGGTTAGTACTATTTTTTTCAAGAACTTTTCAACAGTTCATTAGTTATTTGAACATAAAAAATGTGACCCTGACTAGATGACTGTTGGTATTTGGACGATTGATATCATTTTTAGTCAGTGACAGTTTTTTTCCGCCATCGATTATCATTTGTTTATAAAAACCTTGTTATTATATGAACATTATATAAGAAGAAGAAAAAGATAAAAAATAGATTATATTGGTTGGCATCATCGTTCATCTCAGAATAGGATAGGAAAAGTTGTTGACTAATTTGAGAACACATGTGAATTTTTACGTTATTTGAAACTGAACGTATAGATGGCTAATAGACATGAACAATATGTTTACTTATAAAATTCAACGGGGTTCTCACTATACAAGAATAATAAATAAATAAATATCTATAACTCTTTAAGATGTTATTATACGGTCAAGGTTATTGAATAATCATAATAGCTCAGTATGCTGTTGAACAATTGTCCCTCTATTATATAAATAGGAAGAACAGCAAGAGCAATAGAATTGAATAGGCAAATAAATATACGTAATACAGCACCAATCGATTTCCTCGTTTCTTCTTTCGAGTGTTCGTTCAATCGAACCGAATACAAATATACTTTTTTTTTTTTGAAAATTGCCCAAATAAGAGAGTAAATTGACTATGTGTGATTGTACATACACAAAAAAAAAAAGAACTCTCTTTCTCTCTCACACCCATGTCCATGTTAAAAATCTTAACAGACATCATGTTTGTTGAATCCGCAATAATATAAATGAAGCATAAAAATGATAACAGTTCAAATGACATTTTGTATATTATGTAATAAATTTTTCTTACAGAAAGAGAGAAAGTATGAACCCCGATTAACATTTTAAGGTAGACACGTAGAGTAAATTTCCTGTAACAATGAAAAACAAATGAATTTCTCAGTTTGATAAGTAATTATACGAATGAAGTTGATTGAAACATGTGATAAACAAAGTTCTCTCTTATTACACAATATACACAGACAATTTACTAGAATAACAATAAAAAGCCATATTGTTGGTTAAAGCAGGATAAATAAGGTCTCATAACACCTATACAAGTACTTTTATCTGATTTTGTCTCGCTACTTTTCCACAATATTCTATAAATTTAATCAGTATTTTATTTTGTCGGTTTAATGTATAAGTAACCTGATAAACTTTTCTGTTTTAGGATTTTATTCAAAATGTGAGACAACATGGTGCTAGTTCACGATATGATAATGTCAGTAATCCAAGAACAATAGCAAATCCTATTTCAACGTCTATTTTGCCGACAACACAAACAACAGCAGCAGCAACAACAGCAACAACAACAACAACAGTCACAACATCGAATGGTGTACAGAAAAAAGATAATGATTCAACGACGACAACATTGACACATTTAACTTAGAATTGACTTTGTTACAAATAAAAATAATGTGACTTTAACAGTTTCTTTCTCTTTTGCACTCATCAAATATTCTCCCAGACGTCAGATTGACATTTCTCAGGTGTAATTTATTACAAAAAGATAAACATACATGCTGGTATACGAATTTTGTTTTTCCACATTACTTCTTTATTGGGGACTTTTTCTTCTAAAAAATGTTTTGCTAATTATTATATGTTCTTTTTGTGTTTTACTCGTGAATATGAATATCTAACTTTTATATTTTCTCTACTTACATTATATAATAAAAATAAAAAAAAGAAGAAATCATTCAAAAAATGACTGTTCTCGTCATGTATCCGAAGTTACAATTTCAAACATCTTAATCTCTCATTTCAATTATCTCAAAATTCATTAAAGTTTAGACTTTATTTTTTTTTTTATTATAAGAAACATGAGCACACCCTATAAAGATAAATACATACAGGTTAAATGTTGAACTTTACCTCTCAGAAATTAAGTCTTCAAAATTAAAATATCTATACTTGTGTACATTCTTTGTTAACACGATATCTTCAGGAATTTGTGTTTCAATTCTTTAGAGTAATCAATCGATGAACAAAATATATAGTGTAGTCCCATCGTATGACAAGATCCAGTTCTAGTACTATTTAAAAGCCATTGCATGTAAAACGCGACATTTTGCTGTAGCCGTGGATAGATCAAGTTAAAGGAATCTTTTTAAGTTAAACTGCAAAAATCGCACCGGAAAGACTCTTCCTGTCGAATTTAAGAAACTAAAATTTTTGACCCATAATTCACGAAAATACTAAGGAACGAGTTATATTGGTAATTTTTTATACTGGGCCTAATGATGATGCTTAAAAACATACTTAGAAACTCTAAGTAAGGCTTAAGAACAGGCAGTAGAAGTAAAGGATAAATATTGAAAGAAAAAGATGAAAGTCATCAAAACAGAGAGTTCGGGTTTTCGTCGTTGAAAAGAGGAGATATAGATATTTTTTCATACGTAAAACCAACTTCGAAATCGATTTTCAAGAGATTTTTTGCTAGATCTTTAAAAAGCTAGAATATAGCTTAATAGTTTAAAGTATAATTTGTTTTATTCATTGATGGATAACTTATAGTGTTCTCTTCAAAATAAAAGTCCTATAGTCTCCGCATTTTTGTTTATTTAGACGTGGCACCGGATTTCGAAGAAGCCAGAGGATCGGTTTTCCGTAACTTTTGCCAGTATATCAAAAACTGATGGAAATAAAGATTGTTGATCATGTTGATTATCGTGTCCATGTTTTTTTCGTAAGAAAACTTAAGAATTTATTGAAAATCAATATCGAGTTAAATAATCCATTTTTGATTATTTTTACAGAAAATTACAAGATTTATAATTCACTGAAAAACTACTGCAAATTATTAACATATACTCTGTTTTATCTGCGCTATACCATTGAGATTAATAAAAGTTTTGAAAAGCAATTGAAAATACTTTGGTCTTCTAAGAGTTTTTTGGAAGTCTTCGAAAGTAAGAGTACCATTAAGAGCAGATAAATAATAAAACTTATCATAAAATAATTAATTCAATAGGTCACCCAGAGACAGGATACCTAGGCCTTGACCTGCGCGAGTCAAGGTCAAAACTTGTAGGAGAAACTAGAAAGTTTAACTGTAAGGTGGCTTATTGTTATTCGATCTAACGAACAATTTTGCCTCGGGTCTGATCCTGACCTATAAAGTTGAACCTGGACCTATGACCTGTACTTGTGACCTGGACGCTGGGTCCGTTGCATGAAAAAATTCTGCTAGTACGAATTTACAATATCCTGTACTAGAGTTTAAGAACAGTTCTTAGAATATATGAGAAGCACGTGATAGATATTTTGAACAAAAATGTCTTTAGGTAATAAGGTTATTACGATTTTTCATATTGTTCTCAGAATTTCCAACAGGAGAGAAAATGTGTATGAAATAATTCAGTTTCACACTGCTAGATATAGTCAATGGCTGTTGCTTATACCGACAGGTCACAGGTAGAGGTTCAGGTCAAAGTCCAGGTCCCCTTTTCCAGGTTCGCGACTTGCAGGTCCAAGTCCGCTTTTGCCAGGTCAGGTCTGGACATATGACCTGGACCTGACCTGAACCATCCTGCCTCTGAGATCACCTATCAAAAACGTGATCCAAACGACGATTGTGGCTCATACTGTCATACAAAAACAAAAGCGTCCTTGGACGTCATCGTTGCTTTAGTTTGTAGCAAATACAGTTTAGTATTTCTGATGAAGTTTCCAAGATTAATTTTTATTTCGTTGCAGAGTGACATACACAACAATATAAAGTTTTACCGTATGGCAGACGTACGTTGGGTATTTTTATTTTTTTATGGGGAACTTGAGAGAATTGAAGTTGATACTCGATTTTTAAAAAGAAATACGGAAATAGACACTGGAATTGTCAAATATCCATTTATAGAGTGAGATTTATTTTTTTTGCCAATGAAATTATTATTGATCTAAAACTCACTCTAATGATAATGAAACAGTTTTGAGAAAAACTCTAGATAATGTTCGTTCATCATACTAATCCATTCGGATACATGAAAACCTGAAAAACTGAGATGTTTATGTTAAATTCACGAAAGGAAACTTTTTTAATATGCACGAAAACGATCAGAAAAGCTTAAAAGTATTCTCGATTCAAGACACTATTTTTTCAGTCAAAAGAAAGTAGAATAATTTTACGAAATAAGTACTCTCTGTTGCAGTTAAATGGCTAATCTGAAAAAAGGTCTAAACGCATCACACTTTTTCTTTTGGACTAACAATGATGTGTAGGGTACCACTTTTCAATATTTATTGCTATTATTTGACAATAATGTGATTTGGATTTATAGTTCAGTTCTAGTTGATACTGTTATTGTGCCAACAAATTTCGCAATTTATACTTTATAACATACTGGATACGGTGGCAACGATCAATTCATATTTCTCTTTACAGCTAGCTAATAAGACATTGACAATTGTAAAACACAAGATTTAGTCCATCAATGTGATATTTTTATATTCTTTATCTGATGAATGCAATCGAATAGTTGGCACATCAGTTATCAGCCAATCAATAGTGTAAATTATTTGTTAGTCTATTTGTGACTCGAAATAACTCGTATTATCTGATGCAACTAATCGTCAACTATTCGATACAAATGTAAATGACCTTTATGTATTTTATATGAATGATATCATACATTCGAAGGTGGCATCACATTATAATAATTAACAATTAATCTATTTATATTCAAGAAAAATTAGATATTAAGTAATAACCTCAGTAACAAGTGTCTGCTGTGCTTTATTGAGTATGAATAATATCCTGGTGTGTTCATATAACAGAAGTGATTCAAATGAATATGACAGTCCAAATACATAGGCGATTATCTATTTATCACAAGAACAAAACAAAGGTTGATCAAAACACCGACTAATCTCTCTATACTCAATTGGTAACAATCGTTGATAAATTGGATATCACGTATTTTTAAAAGTATTGATCATGATGTCTTGTTTAGTGATCCTAGTGTATTTCAAATTGAAACTCATATAACATTAATTGACTATCACAAACAAGAGTCAAACCGATTGATCGAATCATTTTCGCACTATTCTTTTTCATGTGTTTATTTGATAGTTTATTATACATAATAATAATGTGTAACTAGCAGCAAAAGCAAATGAAAAAATTCATAGCGATCTGAGTACCGCGAATAAAATGTTTATGATGACTGCTGATGGCAACTGTAACTGATCAAGCGAAAAGATAACTCTTTGTCGAATTGATTATTTTTATTGTTTTATTGCTAAATATTCTCCGAGTTGTCTATGTGTGATTGATTTCAAAAGTATATACAAAATTTATTAAATATAGGCAGAATTAATATTGATACGATATTAAAAATATCAAAGTGAACAATAATAATAATAAATACATTTGCAGAACTCGACTGTCCAAAGTCACAGAGTTGCAGTATCAATAGCTGTCTTTTATGCAATAACTTTTAAAGAATCACAACAGTTTCATACCAATAATTCATTTGTTTTTGTCGAAATATTTTATTTTTAATTCAATACTGTCTATACAAGAAACAAATATAGAACAAAACAAACGTGAGATTAATATATATATTGAAAACAAGAAAAATTTGATTAGTGTCACTGCACATCAGAGGGAGCCCACAAGATTAAGAAAAAAATGAGACGCTATTACATAGAAAAAAACTCATTTTTCTGATTTTAGAGAGAAAAAAGCTACACACTTTCTACTCAAATCAGAAAGAAAAACTTTTAGATAGTTCAGCTCATTGGCATATATTAACTAAAGTACAAAAAAAGCAAATAGTTAATTCTCTTATACTTTGTGTCAGTTATATGGAAAACTAAATTTGGGTATTTTTGCATCTGACTTCTTCTAAAAATAAACCTTCAAGAATAAGTTATCTGACTAACTTAACTTCACAAATACCCTGAATACAAATATTGAGCGAGGAGAGTAAAGTACAACAAAAAAAAGTTGTATACAAAAAAAAAGATGTATAAAAAATGAAAATACTCAAAATATGAATGAAGAAAAAAAATAGTACAGCAAGAAGTAGACACAAAACGGTCAAAAGATATAGAAAAAGAGAAGATATTGTCATTGTACTAATATAATGAAAATGCCAAAAATGTATCTGATGTTTAAAAAAGAGTAAACAAGAAATGACGTAACTATTCTATCCTAATTTCTTAACTTATACCTATGCTAATTCCTCATTTAACAATTTAACAATAAAAATGTTAACAAAAGTACGACACACACGCAGACAAAGATAGATATATACAGTTAAATAATATTTGTTTACATTATTTTTGAAAAACTGTTGCAGATTAAATTTTTTGTACAAATAAAAAAAATCGAACATAGTCAGAATCGTCATTCACAGATAAAATTCATTATACTTGTTTAAAGCTTATTCGATATGACCTAAATGTAAACATTGTTCATTTACATAACACGATTCGGACTGTTGTTCTATATCCTGAGAAATTTACTTGAATTGAAAATAATATTTAAGCATAAAATTCTTGTGGACTTTTTGAATAGCCATATTGATTTGGATACAGTAATCCTGTTGTATACGAAGAGAATGATTTTTCGCCTACAAAGTTTAAATTGTAAATTAGTGAACGTTTTAACCGATTAAACAGTAAAAATAAAAAGACTTACGCCTACGAAATCGTCGTATAATGCATATGAGTAAAATCAACGATGTCATAATTCCAATTCCAAGGCCTGGCAAAGAAGAAGAAAAATGATATAAAGAGTATTCAACAAAAAATATTTTGCATTTGCTATTAAAAAAACACATGCAACATATAAATTGATATTCTTACCGCATAATATTCCAGCCGCTATTGGTGGTCTTGTTAAGAAACTGAATAATACCCATATCGGTGTATGATGAACAACATGATTATTTGATGTTGTAGTTTTCATTATGTATGATGTTGTCGACATTTTTGAAGAAAGCGTTTTTTCACCCTCGTAATAATCAGCTTCATCATCTTCACTGTGGTCTTGATCATCATAATCTTCCTCTTTGAATTCATCGTCTCCGTCATTTGAATTATTCACCGTTTTCATGGTTGATTTTGTCCATTTATTTGTAGTGGTAGAAGATATTTTAACTGCGGTTGTAGTTAAATTGTATCTGTTTCGACTCACAGTTGTTGTTTTAAATAGTGTCTCGTCATCTTCATAATCCTCATCAAGGTTACTACTACCTTCTTGTCCACTTCCTTCCACACTATTTATATTTCCATCATTTGCTAAAATAAGTTGACCTGCATCAAACTTATTGTTTGAATCGTCAGCTCGATCATATAACTGTGCTTGTTTAACTAAATTTTGTTTCTTATGATTGGTTTGATTTTGTAGGGCATTCAATGGATAATAAACGAAAACACAAAGAAAATAAAATGAAAAGATGTTCATGTTTATTAAAATTTTTGAATCTGAAAGGCGAAACATAATAATGCAAAAAGAGTATGAGAGATAAATAGTTCTCGTATAAAACTAAAATACATGTAATGACAAAATACTTTTTAAAAATAAAATCAGACTAAAAATCTCAGAGAATACTTCACAAATTACTCGAAATTCAATGATCTCAAGTTGAAAAGCTTAACATTTTTTGTCTTACGAATAAAAAAGATGATTACAGATGTACATACAATTTACGCGCTAAATCAGCTGACTATATTGCATTTAGAGCATTCTCTTAGTATAGTTCTGAATCTACCTTATTTGACTATTACAGCATTAAACAAATAATCGATAAGATTAAAACAAAATGCACAAACAGAAAGGAGACGACTATACAATCATTGTATGTACATCTCTTGGGATCGCAGAGATTGGTCAACGTTACCATTCTTGTGGTGTATTTCGGTTTGAATCGTGAACTTTAAAGCACTGATGCATTTGAAGAAAAGTCGAATACTCAAGAATACTGAACGCATTATTCGATTTTTTTCTATGTCATTGAAATTTCCAATCGCGAGAGCTCAACTCTGCTAATCGATATAGCACTCTGTTGTTGTTACCGTTACGTCGGACGTAGTGGTGGCTTATATTACGAGATGTATATAGCGACCTGGCGGAAGGGTTCATCTTACGTCGATAGTATGACATGAGGCAAATGGATGAGACAAGCGAATGGACAGGATGTCTTAAAATAATGCTAAAACAATTTAAATCGCACAACAACTAAAAAAGTGGGACAATCATGTTGGGCTTTCTCTGAATAAGCAATTGTCATGTCTGTGTAAAAAAAATAGTAAAAAATTACAAATTACAAATTTCAAAATAGGCGATAGAATACAGGTCAGTCAAGGCTGAATAGCCAAAAACTATTCATCAGAGGAGTAAAAGAGCCATGTAGAAACAAAATATGAATCTCAATACAGCCCGAAATTCTGAAATGTGGAGGAAGTAATGCTAGAAAAGTAATTACGCCTGACGAACTGTTATTACCTTACAAGGTTCGTTTCATACAATATACTCAGAGAAACTAATAATATGCGCTGCCATTGACAACGTTATGGGTGCTGTTACTTTACTGTTATTTTATAAATGACGCCTAATTGAGTATTGGAAAATGACGTTTCGATATTTTTAATGAAGTAAATAATATTGATTTACATTTAAAGCTTGAGTAGCCTTTATTGCACGTTGATTGATAGACAAAATAAGTAAAAACCAGAAAAAGAGAATTATTGAATTAAACAAAGCACTGAGCTGAAAAGAAAGTCATCACCATAGAAAGAACTATAGTTTAGTCTTTTCATGACATGCTAATATTCTTCAAAATAACAGTTCTGTTGGACAGATCAGTATAGTTTTTTTTGTGAGGATTCTACCAAATAAGAAAATCGCTGCTTTAAGTATTGAGAAACTAGTTAGCCTCACTTTCAAGGAGTTCTTATATCCGGGTTAATCCTTCAGGGGGTAGATATTTGCCTCGCGAAGTTAGTTTAAATTAATTCAAACCACAGAAACCCAAAAAGTGATAAAGAAGAAAAAATTTAAAATTGGACAGCCCTAAATTGCTTTTTCTTCTATATCACTTTTTGGGTTTCTGTGGTTTAGATTAATTTTGGTTATATGCTGAGGCAAATATCTACCCCCTGAAGGATTAACCCGGATATAAGAACTCCTAGAAAGTAAGGCGAACTAGTTTCTCAATGCTTAAAGCAGCGATTTTCTTATTTGGTAATAAGAAACAAGTTGATATGTCATGCTCGTTCCTTTTTTCAAGAATCTGTGAATAAACACGACCCAAAAATCATAAAAGGGTATGTCCCTATTCCAGGCCATGGCAACTATGCACACCATGAAATTTCTGATTAAATATTCTTTTAGACCAAATTCCAGTTGGAATTTTTATCATACTGCAAAATACACAGTCAATGCCAACATATACAAGGAAAAGAAAAACTTTGCTACTAGTACTAGACGTACTGGCACAAATAAAATAACTTTGAATATTAGCACGAAATATCGTCATACTACAACAGAGCATTGATAATCCATGGCGATACGTGTGAAAAGCATGATCTATACAAGACTTATCTCTAGAAATCTAAATTAGCATAATTTGACAGATGTAAGATACACTTATAGATAATTCATTCGCATTGACACAATTTTGGGATGTGTCAAAAAACCATTTAAGAAAAATTGGTAAACGGTCTGACTTCAATCAACTGCATCATTTGTTTTAAAGTATTTACGAGTATTTCAGCGGTTTTTCAGTTTGCTGAAATAAAAAGGTCAAGTTTTTGTAACCGAATTTTCTTCTTGTTACATTGTTTGTAATTATTTTCTTGCTTACATTGTTATGAGTAATGGTTTAAGCGGTTTTTTTCGTCTTATTTGCTCCTCTACAGGAAACCGTCTTAGTGCCAATTACTGAAATATTTTTTATATAAAAATCCTCCCTAATCACGAATACTTAAAAGTACGTAATGAGTAGTAATAGTTTGCACGTTCTTAGTTGTCGTCTCAGTTATACTGCACATTTAAATTTAACAATTTTATTTATTATGATGTACAATGGATGCATCATCAGTCTGTTACGTTTTTCATGTATTCTGATTTAGACCTAACGTCAGGATGAAACTGTTTTGTGTCGATAATCTTTTGTTTTCTACTTAGATAAGTGTTATTAATACATTGACTACAAAGCTATTAATAAATTTAACCAAATCAAAAAAATTTTAAAACTTTGTTCGGTTAAAACCGATTGCAAATTCGTCTTCTCCATAGTTGATTATCTTGTACGCGATAGCTTTTGGATCGGCGTACTTCAGAAAAAAATTCTCGACATCGTTTTGTTTATGATCCCATGCAGTGACTTTTTCGAAAATTTTTTAGTAAGATCATGAGAAAATCTTTTCTAAAGTAGCCCGATCCAAAAGCTACCGCGTACAAGATAATCGATTATGGAGAAGACGAATCTGCAATCGGTTTTAACCGAACAAACTTTTAAAATTTTTCGATTTGGTGGTATGACTGATAGAAAACACTGCATTAAATGAAGAGAAATAATATACATTTGATCTTGATTTGAATGATGCATCTGAAAAAGCAAAATAGTACAAAGAGTTACAATTAAAGAATGGAGAAATTAGAGATCATTCGCAAAACAATATTTAGTCCTGCATTTTGTAATAGTCTAGCGACAGTGTTAGAAATAGCATGATAAACAAGTCGGATCAAAGAATTAGAATTTGTAATCTATCATTTCCCGAAGCCCCAAGTCTCCTGTCAAAAAGTCATGCTGAACACGATTTTCGTCTGCACTGAAGTTTTAAACAGATACCTCCTCGGTCAACTCTGAGCATGTTCTTATCTCTAACCAAACATTCTCCACAGACACTCTATACTTCACGTTAAAGAACAAGTCAAATTCTACTGTTGCCAGCAAGAACCAGTTTTTTAAATGTATATAGAATTGGATAGCACTGAGCACAAAATGGTGAAACACGTAGAACGTTCGACTTTTCTTAAGGCTATGGTATAAAGAAAACGCAATGAAACTCCATCTTGTTTTAGATAAAAATGAAGTGCTATTCATGATTTCGACTGGCGCTGCTTTTCTAGAGCCGCTGCAAATTTTCATATCCTTGCGCCGCCGCCGAAAATTTTTTATCGGCGCACATGTCTGGTCGTGTGTCTGGAAACATAGAATTTAACAATAGCAGATGAAAAGTAAAACTACGATACAGAGAAGGGGCTGTATTTTTGAGTCTGTTGCATCCGACTAATTCCTTGAGCCTGACTAGAAACCTTTATATTATACCTACTATGACAATTAAAAAATTGTCGTCGTTTAATAATTCGTCGTTGAGAAACAAAACCTTTTTAAAAAGTTTTTTAGCCACACCTGATGATTTGAAAATGATTCAACTATGTTGGTAATTTTTTCTACATACCGTATGATTCACGAGTTCATTCCGATATGAAACGATAGAGAATTGTTTGTTCAACAAAATCTACTATATGAGAGACATTCAGTCTCTTTCTTTTAACTCATGAAATCCGTGTTTACCAGAAGTCGATATTTTCTAAAAGCGTTAACTGATTCATACACGAAAATTTTTGTATTTCTGTTTCAACACATATCGATGGATCATAATAGCATAACAAAAACAAAAGTTTTCAATCATCATCGTCGATATTGAATGTTGGATCATCTGTTTAATTAACAGCATGATCATCATTCTCGACTTTTCAAGTCTTACAATCATTACAAAATTTGATAACAATTAATTAGCAAAAATATCATCGATGTTGTATAGCAAGCCGTCTGTTACATTTAAGCAGAAAATGTGCGCAATGTAATACGGTCGTATGTGGCGTGTATGGGCAGATTGATAGTGGCTCGTATTACATTTGTGACTATTGTAAGAGTGATAATGTGTTGCAACTACAATATTATTAGATTTTTGCAATCAGATTAAAAGCAAACATTATCTATGATGTTGAAACGGTGTTCTCATGTATTCTATTCTTGAGTTGAAAATTGAGTTAAGCTGAGTAAAATAAAAATTTGTTTAGTTTGTTATTATATACGTCGTCATACGATGTTTGTGTCAATTTATATTTATGTATTAGTTACTTTTTACGTCAGAAAATAGTTGCACAACACAGTAGAGATCATGGCACAAAGATGCAATAAGGCCTTTTCTCGAAATCCATGAAGCAACTGAAAAACTTTGAATAAATAGTGTTGACTTTCATTGTTTATCATACAGATTACTATTTTCAATAAAATTGTCTTCTTTACTCTGTGTTTACCCAATTTCAGGCTCAACTGAGACTTTAACATTATATACTTTTCACTTCAATACTTCATAGAATCGAAATCAGCTCCTGAGAGATGATACAGATTTGTCTCTGAGAATCCAGTGTATTTCAACAGGGTGTCTCTTTTTATCCCAAGGCATAAAAATGGAAAATGAAATTCTCGTATATACAGTAAAAAAAATTGAGTTCTTCATCGTTCCAAATACTGAAAAAGATTAAGAACTAATTTAAGTTTTTCCGCAGTGAAGAATTCAAATCCGCTTCTTCATATTTTGGAGAACCAAAAGGAGTTTTTAGAACAACTGAAATTGAGTTCTTACTCTTTTGAGTTATCTATTTGGAATAATGAAGAACTAGATTTTTTTACTGTGTACAGTTGTATTATAATTAATGATAATGAGCTCAAAATGATATGGTAGAAAGATGAACATGGTTAGTTCTTGTTTTGTCGAAAAAATTATAGTGTCTCACACTCATATCAAAGCATGTTTCGATCAGAATCTACTGGTAAAGATCCGGCTACAGAATGAGGTAGTTTTGAACCAATTACCGCTCCCATTGAATTAACAGCGGTTCGTTGATTAAAAGCTACATGTATTTGAATAAACTGTCTCTTTTTGACCCAACGTACACTATCTCTCCTGCCATTTGCATCGCATGTTGCATTTCAGATATATATATATATATGATATTCAACTAGAATATAATAAATCCCAATTATTATTTTCTTTCCTTTCACCAGGCGACATCATTATTTCCGTTTGCTAGTGGCTGATCAAAATGAACAATCGAGCTATACCCGATAGGAGAGCCACAAGCAATCATTATTTCTTGCTGGACTCTTTCTCGCGTTAAGTGAATAATAACTAAGATCTTGGACAGAAATGTAATAACGATCTTGGAAAAAATATGAAGAAGTAATGCAACAGTAAAAATAGTAGCTTATTTTAAAATTTTTTCTTTTCGTCTATCACAGTTATAACTATCACGAAACAGCTTATACGATCACAGGATCTTCCACAAACAATTTTGTCCTAGAAAAAATGTGGATATTATTCTAAGTGTGAAAGTATTCGAACGATGTAAATAAGAGTGTAAAACAGAACGGTGATCCAAGAAATTTCGCTAGAATGTTTTCTTTTCACACTGAGATTTGTTTGTTTATCGTTTTCATGTTTACCTCTTTGTGTAAAGCTCAATTGCTTTAAATTCCTTTATGTACTCTACGTACAGTCCACTTTTGCTTCGATAAGAAATTTCAGTGCAGCCTATATCTTTTTGTTGAAAGTGTAGCATAATTAGTTATTACAACGGTATATACTACTGCTGCTGCACTAAATTTTCCGTACGTACTAATTCTTTTGTTTTAACTATAACTCAGCAGAGGAGTGGTCTTTTAGCAAACGGTTTCACCAAAATGTTACCCATTCCTCCGAGTATATTTGTGAAAAATACTTTTAAAATATTGGCCGCTCTTGTCTGTAGGTTAACCTCAATACTCAGATACATTTCGAAGATTTGCAAAAATTTTCTGTACGACTTATGTGATCGATCTTTTGACTCATCAAAGAAGTTTAAAGCTATCAAAACTACACTAATGGAAAGCGAAGAGGATAATGAACATTAAAGTGTTTGAAAAATAACTTTCTCGGGGCGGGTAGAGCAATTTTAAGGTAAAGTTGACATAGTCAACATTCAAATTCTGTAATGATAAAAAGCAATGATAAAAAGTTCAAAACATAGTTTTGGTAAATTGTTGCAGCAGTAGTATTTGTTTTTTTTTTACAATTGTACGAGTATTTGCTGTATTGTTATAAGAAAAATTATTTTATCTCCAGATGTTGTTCACATGATGGGGGATGAACCAGAGCAACAACAAGAGTTGAAAGAACAAGATCTTCCTCACTTGCCGAAAAAATTATCGCTCAGTGATTATCTAAATAAAACGGACTTATCAAATCCAACGAATTTAAACAGTTTTATCAAAGAAAATCATATTATACGTTGGGATCATGAAAGCGAACAAGAATTTGCCAAACGTGTGAAAAAAATTAATTATTTAAATTTAGCTCAGCAATTGATATGTAACAATACAAAAAAAGTAGTACATCATTCTAGTGCATTTCCTTCACAAGCAAATAGTCAGATACAAAATGCAGATGTAAGAGATAGTGATCAACAATATGTAAGAAGTAAACAAACAATTGTTATTACTTTTTCTTACAGTTTTCGTGTTTTTTAAATAGGTATCCACATTCTTAAACAACAATGATAGTGCTGTTAAGCGAATGAAACCTTTATACGACTATGATGAAGCTGATGAACAACCCGATAATTACGATGAGGAAGAACAAGAAGAAACATCAAGTGACAGTGAGGATGAATATATTCCGAGGAGAAAGTCGAATTTTGCTAACGATATTAAACAAAAATTGCATAATCTGGCTGCGGAAGTACAACGAACATTTGGCACGTCCACTAGTGACGACGACAGATTTTTAGAATCGAATGATGCCAAGTCGAAAAACCAGATATCGAACAAGAACACGTAAGTAACACATTCATGTACGATTCTTTTCAAATCTAAAGAGAGGGCTTTCTCAGATAAACTTAATCACATAAAGTTCCTCATATTTGGAAGTCTTTAGATTTTCCGAAACATATTCCATTACAGTTGTAAATTTTTTAAACTTTGTTTTTTATCAAAACGCCAGTTATAATGAAACTTACGAAAAACTTTGCTGCATTAAAATTTTAGAAGAAAAACTCTAGTTTTTATTTATATATATATATTGCATATGGTATGGTCCATACAAGCCAGAGACTACGACAGATCAGGTGGACCCAAGGATCAGTCTGGACTCGGGTCACTGCAGAAAGTATGATCCGGTAGGAGAGGGAAGGGTCAGACAAAAAACTTTTCGAATTTAATACACAGGAGCAGAAAGCAACTTTCGTCGATATATGTTTTCTATCGAAAAAGAGGCTCTGATTTTTATTTAATCTTTCTGCGCAATGTGTGTTTCAGACACGCTTGGACAATATATGTTTCAGCAGACAGTTTTCAGTTTTAAGTCAACGACAAAAAGTTTCTAAGTCATTCGGATCAAAATTTGAGAAGTTGGTAAACAATTCTGATTGTACCGGGTTTGAGTTACACATTTGTGACCCGATTCGATCGCTGGTATAAACTGTGTAATAATAGCAAAACAATGAAACAAATATTACTTAAGTCTGATTTTTGAGCGCTACTATTAGCCATATATAACAGCTATTCATAACTGATTTTTACCGATAAGCAAAAGCCTTATTTTAGAAATCAAATTTTCCGTGGACTTCCTTATTATAAAAAAGCCAGTTGATACTACAGTGACGAGAATAAAGCAGTGTAAGTGATTAAGTCACAGGGCTGATTGAGTCCGATGGACATGTTCTGATCCATGTGTGGCATATCCAGTTTTATACGAAAAAAACTGTTTTATCTAATTATGGAAATAGTAGCAAACGACAGGACGCATTAGAGAAGGTTATCCGAAGTCATCTATTACCAGTCTAGAGATTCGCAGCAAAACTGATACCACGCCTAAAACTGAAGAGGCTGAACCCAACTGATCAAGATATCATACGTAGCTTAGTTTGTAGGAAATTCGACGAGCTTTACAACGGTATATGACACAAATGTACTTTAGAGATAATAACAGCAACTATTTTTAATTCCATTATTCAATTTTTTATTAAAATTCGACGTTTCGAAAATACAATTTTCATTTTCAAGAAAACAATAGATGACAAGACTATAATGTAACGTTAGAGTCAAAAATTTATCTCTATAGTTTTAAAATTTTTACCCGTTAATAAGCATAACAAATGTACTTGTTTCTTTACTAGTGTAAGAAATAGTAAAAACTGGAAGTATGTCGCATTTTTCCCTAATCGATTTACTTTTGATCCATAAAAAAGACTGGACCCAAAACAAATCGTAAAAGTGAATCGGCCATCTTGTAGAGAATTTCATGCTCTATCGAAATATACATAAACTGAGGTGCAACCTGACTTTTAAGCAGAGATGGGCAACTCCGGCTAAGTTCAATTCCAACTCCAACTCCACTTAAAGAAGTTCAACTACAATTCCGCAGATCCCAGCTCCAACTTCGTTTCAACTCCAATAGAAACTTATTTTGTTTTGATTTATTTTCTTCTTTATTTTATTAGTAGTTGTTTATTTCGCTATTGTTTACAAGAATACACACAAAAATAGTCATTTTAACAATTCAAAATTGCATTTCAATAATGTTAATTTTGAAAGCGTACTTTTTGCCATTCTACATCGATGAGATCGGAAAAGAAAACCACTCTGTGAAAATACTTTCTCTACCGGTGCCGACGTGGCAGGTACGCATAACAATTTTTGAGCTAATTTACTTAAAATCGGATATACTGTCTTCTTTTGAAAAATAAGTGAACTATTTTCACTTTCTTCTTTTAGAAAACTAACTATCTCGTCTTTAATAGAATTTTGTTTTGTCAAAAACAAAAAAATTTTCAGAGTTGCAAAAATTTTCAACTGGAGTTGTGAAGTTGGAGTTGAAAAAATCTGAACTCAACTCAACTCTAATCTAATAAAAACGAAACTTCAACTCAACCAGCGGCGTAACCAGGATTTTTAGTCCAATGGGCAAACTTCTATTGTATCGGAAAAAACGATGGGCAAAATGGGCAAGGTTTTTGTCGATGGGCCTAAAGATTTTTGGTCCAAAAAGAACACAAAAAAATGAAATGAGATTCTTTTAATTTTTGAATTAGATTCTAATTCAAAAATAAACAAACAATTCTGTCTATAGGCACTCTTACATATACCTTTCTAAGGGTTATACAAAAAAAAAAACGCATGGGTATATCTGCTAAGTAAAATTACAATGGGCAAATCTCCAAATGAAATGGGCAATTGCCCATTTGGCCCCCTCCCTGGATACGCCGCTGAACTCAACTCCAACTCCACTAAAAAGAAGCTCAATTCCGGAGTTGGAGTTGCCCACCTCTGCTTTTAAGTACACAAAAAACTGAAAATTTTGTGAATCTGTATATCCCATTAACTATGTGACCATATAAAAGTTTGCTCTACCATTTTTTAACAAATAGCAGTGAAGATATGATCTGAATGTTTTTCAATTCAGTTTTTCATCGTCTATCTAGTAGTAGTCGAATGAATCTTATCTACTGTTTTAGTCAAGAGAAATAATTAAATTACTAGTTGGATGGAGGAAGACAACAAGATGATAATGATGGAAGACAATTTTTTTCACTCTTTTTTTGGACTTTTTTCGCCCGGGAATGACAGAGAATAATAGAAACGTGACTTTTCTAATAAATTTGGTCATCGGAAATGGAAAAATCTGAGTGGGCTCATTCTCCCTCTGAAACGCCCCCGTCCTTTTAAAATTTAAACATTTTTTTTTGTGACGTTCTCAGTTGACGTCAGATACATTCATGACAATCTCACTTTACTCAGTCACGTCTGTACGTGAGTTTATTAGCCTAAATGTCAAATTAGTACAAAAATAAAATGACAGCGACATAATAAATATGAAAAATAACAATATACCACAGAGATAGGTGAGAAAATTAAAAGAAAAATTGTGTTTTCTTTTTTAAAAATAAAAAAAGTTATGAACCAAAAGTTTGTTATCAGCAATGTATGTGCCCACACTAATGTAATGAAAAATCTTGTGTGATCATCGAGCAATAAACATAAAATACATCTATATTAAAGATTGCCGAAGAGGGAATATACCAAACCATGTTTTCAGACATGCATTTCCGTACGAAGAAAACAATTTTTTTCCACAAAACTTTATCCGTTACATCTCATCGTGCTGAACATTTTGTGTTTTAGAACACACTGTTAATTAAATGTTTGCTTTACAAAATTCGTTCTTCACGCTTTACATTTTTGTTAAATTTATGTTCAAAATAGTCGATGAACAACTTATTTAGAAAAGTTAAAAACTGCGCAATACATGTCATTTGGTATGCTCTATCCGATTACATTATAATTAGAATTGAGTTTTAACGTTTGAACTATCAAAGATTTTTTATGAAATTCAATTTCTTAAAGTCTAGAGCGTTCATATGTTCTACAAATTAACAAATCATGAGTGAATTTTTTAGAAAGAAAGTCCCTCTTAAGATCACCATATAATGAAACTATTTTTGCTTTAAATTGTTTGTTAAAAGTCAGATAAAACGTTCGCTAACATCACAATATAGGATAGACTCGTAATTACTCCGATTTATATCTGTTCATTTTCTTCTAGTGTACAAAATCGACATCATGTATATACAACAGATGATCATCTTGCAGATAATTTTTTCATACCAAAAGTGGAGAAAATCGAGCCAACAGTTGATGAAAATGATGTATCATCACAATTATTTTATACAAATGAAAGTTTATTACCTCAAGTTGATTGGGAAAATCTAGAAAAACAATTAAAACAAGCACAAGTAGAACGTGAACGCTATGATAAGGTAAATATTTTCTTCTTTTTTTTTTTACGAATTTTGTATCCTATGATATAATATCTATACTAACTAAACGCCAATTATACAAAATCTTAAATAATAACTTTAACAAAAATTCGAGAAAAAAAAATAAAAAAAGATTATAGTTACCATCAGGCAACATATTTATTCACGTATTACCGTGCAGTTTTTTTTTACTACCATATAATTGAATGAAAGAAACTATATAAGAAATAATTTTTAAAATTTTTTTTTTTTTTTGTTTTGATATTAAGCAAGCACAAAATTATAAATTAACACGTTCATTTAAAGTATACACATCCTTTTCTTAATAGAGACGAATCAATGTTCTAGTTAAGAAAGAAAAGGAAAAAGAATAGGAAATATTTTATGTGTGTTTGTGTAATCACAGTCTACTTCTTTACATAGTATATTTTCTTTTCTACATCGATAAATGTATAGTGTGTCCAATGTCACTACATATACAACGAGCACGTCCTTTCTTTCTTCATTAAATACTTCGAAAGTGTATTTAGGATGATCATACAACTAAGCATAGTTTTATTTATTCAAAGTGAATTTCTAAAATGTCACTTGATTTTCCTACTATATTTTTCAATTTTCTTTTTTTTAATTTCGTTCTAAAAATTTATTATTGAACAAAAAAAAAAAGAAGAAGAAAATACATATAAAGTTGAATTTTATTCAATGTGTCTAAAAAACAATTCAATGGAATTATATATTTATATGTTACATAATGATTATTTTAAAGTTGAACTTGATTTGGAAAAAATTGCTTTAGAATTAAGGGTAAGTTTTCTTCTATTTAATTCAACTTTACTAAAAAATAAAAATCTATCGTTTTATCATTATTTACTCTTTAAAAATTGATTAAATTTTCAAATTGAAAGATAGAATCTCTATTCTTAATATATATATATATATATTCCTATTATCCTACTCATTTTGAATATAAACGAATTTACGTCATGATCCGCTTAAATCGAGTTGATAAATCATTTTTCTATAGAATATTACTGTTATAAAGATAATGTTTAAAAGATTTATATCTTACAATCTAAAGTTGAAAATTTAGTTTTTTTTGTCTAAAATTAGAATAGAAAGAAATCACATGATTGGTCGATTTTATCATTGATAAGTAAGTAAAAGATAAACTTGATAGTGATAAGTTTATAGTTAATGGAGAAAAATATGAAAAGGAAAACAATCTAGTTCTATCTGCTAATTTATAAGGTTAAGGACATCAAGCATTAACTTTTTCATTTCACTTTGTCTTTATGTAAAGAAGAAAAAAAAACTAAAAATAAATGAAATTTTCACATCTTTTATTCATTATTCATTCGAAATTCAGGTAGAAAAATCTTCATTTTTTTTTTTTTTGTTTTGTTTCTAATAACTTATATTCGACTCAATTATTTTTTTCTTTTGAAAAGATGCCATCGTAAGAACTACTTAAAATGCCTGAAGCACTTTTCTAGATCACTAAAACAATCTTTCTTGTCTATAGACTACTCTAACAGTGCCGTAGTCTATATTATAATTTTTAAATAATTTTTTTTTTTTTTTTTTATTGTATTGAATAGTTAGATTACTTAAAGAATTACAATTTAAAGTTAAGTATCATAAAATGAACTGATTTTTTTTTTTTATAAACAATATACTATTTCTTAAAAACTATTTTTCAATATTATTTGAATATTATGATGATACAAGGTCACTTTATCTACTCTATCTTATAATAACAAGAGATAATCTATAATATGAAACGGATGGTTTCAATTTTTTCTGACCTTCTATTCGTATACGGACAGCATGGTTAGATAAGGTCGATTAATAATAAATAAACTAATTCTTGTTAAGAATATTAGAAGTAGATATATTTTTGTAAAAACTTATTCTATTAGAAAAAAATTGTCTCTTCTCTCGAAGGATAATTATATGATATAATTTATAATTGACTAGTCATCCTAGTTTTTAACTAACTATTCTATCATAATTCTCTAAGCTCTGTTAATTTTGAATATAGTAGAATTCACATTTCCCTGCAGGACTCTATTGAAAAACATGTATTCACCTCAAAAAAATGACGAATAAATATCTTAATAATGACTCTGTTGATTATATTGGAGTTCATGTAAAAAAGAAAAGAAAGATGACAAACTATTGATAGAAAAGCAATAGAAAATTTGGGTTTTTTAATTTTTTAAAAGCTAGGATTTTTACATATCTTTTTGTGAAAAAATTAATTTGAAAATCATTTTTTTGTATTAAATTTTAAAAGAATATTTGAAAAATTTGTTCATGATTCAATAATTTCTAATAAAAATAGATAAAACTTATTTCAGAGTTAGACAATCAAAATTGTCTTCTTCATAGTGGAAATCAATGAAGACTATTTAAATTTGTTTTTATCGAAAATATGTAATTTTAATTAGACGAATGCTATTGAATATGAAAAAAAGTTTATTATTTCTCTCATAATAGATTGAATGTACGAGGAAGGTGTGATGGTGCAAATTTTGGATGTTGTAGATGTTATAGTGGTAAACGGCAATTTAAACTTTTTAGACTTTTAGACTTTCTTCTAGAAAAAGTCAACATCCAAAAGTGTTCACCTTGGAGTTTGAGTATGGTGACTCACCCTCAAACGGGCGCCCCCCCCTCCCGCGACTACACAGTCTAAAGGTCTAAAATGTCTAAACCGCCGTTCACCACCATAACATCTACAACATCCAAAATCTGCACCATCACACCTTGATGGAATGTACTTAAAAGCTTTGGGATATGATAATAACAATACATTTTAGATTTAGAAAGCAGACAAGAGTATAAAAATTGAATTTTTTTTACTTAAGAAGATTGTTGAGAAATTTGACCAGAGATCCGTCCAACGATTCGTTGCATTTTCACGATGTAGACAAACTCAAAACTTAGGTATATCCAGTTAGATTGATTTTGAAGGAAGATATAAACTTTTATTATTCAGTACAGAAATGTAGAATCTATCCGTGAAAATAAAAAAATTCTCCCGATAAGAAAATTCTAAAAAATTCCCCATATGTGTGTCAGAATGGTTTTTTTTTGTAGTTATTTTTCAGTAAAAACTCTCATCTTTTTAAAGTTTTTCTGAAAAAAGTTTTCCCAATAGTCTGTTGGTAGAAACAGATATATTCTACACTTTTGATTCACCAGTATTAGTACAGAGAATAGGTTTTCACGAATTTATTTTATCTTTTTTTTACAAAGATAACGTGTCATAAGACTCGACGTGTTCAATCATCTATCTTTCAGTTGTTTTTAAGATAAGAAAAAGATACTAATTCTAGAACTTCCAGTAAATTCGATGACATACTTGAATCATGTTTTAAAAAAGATACTTCGAATTATTTACCCGCAAAAGGGAACAAGAAACATGGCATTATCTTCTCATATATACTAAAATATGTTGTCGCTAGAATATATTTTATTTTTAATAACGATTACTAAAAATATAACCATCGTCTTATTCTATCGATAAAAGTGTTTTCTTCATTATAATACAACTGTATTGTATAATATGATGAATTTTTTTTAAAATTTATTTACAAAATCACTTCAGTTCTACGGATTAGTTGAAGATATAAAATGTCGATAATAGTCATTGAGGTCTTAGCTCTATAGAAGTGGAATTAGGAAATTACTATTATTATAGAAATTGAAATGTGAAAGGAAAAAGAAAGAGTTATATTGTTGTCACTATTGTGTTCAAATTGTAATAAATGCAGAATTAAAATAGGATAAAAGCGACATTTTAGTGGAAAATGTTCAAACACTAACAAAGATTGAAAGGAGAAATAGAAGCCCTCAAGTTATAATTTAGGAATGAAATAAGTATGCATGTTGTTGTAGTCAATTCACACTGTTCATGCAATTTTTCTTTTTAAAAAAAATTTTTAGATTCTAATATATATATATAAAAATAAACCTCAAGATATAGGTTGACTTTTTGTTTTCTTCACTTTCCAAGATTATCTAATAAAAGATTGTTTTGTTTATGTATTTCTCAATAAAACCAATGTGTAATTATCGTTTGAGTGACATTTTCTATATATAAAATACTGGAAGAAAAGTGAGTGTTTTCCTATCGGCCACATATGTTAAACACTTTGTTCTTTGATTAATAAAGAAAAAAAATAATACTAAGTTTTTTTTCATAGATGAAGTGACCAACAAACATATTTTGACCACTATTTTTGATTAAACCCGAATATATTGAACAAAAAACAGAAAAATATACTTTTTATAAGAGATTTTTGTACGTTTTTGTCTGGCATGATTATTGTCTCACATTATGTTTATCAACGAAAGATTCTGTGTTTGATAATTTGCTATGTTTAGCCGAGCATATGAAATAGAAATTGACTTTTTTTTTTCTTTTAGAGAAAAAGATGGGTATTTTTGATTTATATCAAACAGACATTGTTCGTATGTAAAAATGACATGTTTGAATGATAATAATCTATTTAATTTCAAATTGTTGTTAGACCAACGATTTTCGACATCTAATCTACAAACATTTTTTCCTATGTTTTGGCAAAAGAATGAAGACTAATCACATGTAAATGATGAAGCGTTTGGGAAATGATGTTTTTCTCGTTTCCCTTCAAAAACAAAAAAAAATTAGTCTATAGTTTAGTGCATATATTTAACGGAAATATCCGTAGAAAACAAATTTCGAAGGCTCAGCTATCAAAAAAAACAAGAAGCAAAAGAAAGAACAATAGGAATGACGAGATGCTTGTCATTGTGACAAAAAGTAAGAAGAATTTTTTTCCAGAAAATTGACATAAAAATAGAAAAGAAAAATGTGTTTTCATTAGGTGATGATTATGTGTCGAAATGTACTTAAACCCGGTCTTTGTATGAGCATTTTGTAAAAAGAAAAATTTTCCTTTTTTCTTTTCTTTTTTTCTTTGTTTTATTATTACTACAAATGGTTATTGTTATTGTTGTTGTTGTAATAAAATCTAAAACATTGTATCAGTACCGAAAATACTTTTTGTTTTGAACTCTATAAAACATATTTCTTAAAAACTTTTGAACCATGGTGATTGTTAAGACTAGATGGAAATGGCATGAATGTATGCAAGTAAGAAACGGTGTTTGTTTCTTAAAATATGCGCTCATCTACAAAGTCTATTTTTGACAAAAACAAGAGGGGTGATTGATTTTGTTTTTCTCAAACTAACCGATAGTCCATAATGACTGTCATCTCTTCATCTCTCATTTCTTCAGCTCAACGGAGATTATTATTTTTTCTAAAGCGTTACGTCATGAAATCAAAATTTTCCAAAATATGAGCAATCATTCGGTAATTTCTTTCAAAGTCATGATAAATTTATCCATGTATGAGTGAATATGCAGCAAAGATTTATCACACAAAGACAACCCTTGTACAGACACTCATACATGGATGAATTATCTAGCCCAAGTAGAAACTATCTATTAGTTCATGATAAATTTTAAGTAATTTAAACTTTGACGTTTCTCCTCTTGAGTGAGCGTAGGACGACTACTCTTGCTGAAAATGGAACAAATGGTTTTCGTATGATTTTGATAAAGAACAAGAAATTTTCGACACATAAAATTATAATATTTCCGGATTCTCTCTTTCTCCGGAACTAAAGAATTGGATAATTTTAAAAGCACATCAGTCATGTTAAAAATACATAAATCTATTATATTTTCTTTAAAACAAATTGTTTCGGTGCATGTTATTTATTAACATTCCGTTCATAGAAATCAAACATGGTTTATGTGTTTAATATGTAACTCTCCTTGATTTAGGCACGTTTAAATGATCGTGATGAAATACGACGAAAATTGGCTATGGGTAATGAATCTGAAAATGAAGACGATTTTTATACATCAGATTATATTAAAAAATCATTAACATCGTCTCATCGTATTCAAGGTTTGTATAAAAATAAAGAGAGTAGCATATATCTTTAATCCAAATACTGATCATTGATTTTCTGATATTTATATATATAAAAGTTAGCAGACTATATGTACTTGAAGGATATACCTTTCTCATATTTATTTGATTAACTCACAGAAGAGTAGAAAAACATGTTACATACATTTATTCTAAGAGAAGAAGAAACGAAGTTCGTTTGGGAAATATATTTTTGTGTGACTATAAAAGAGTGAAGTAGGATCACATAATACACACTACAATGTCAACGGCTAATAAATAAATTAATGTCAATCATTCAACATTTAGATTAATCTTCATTTATTTTTCTATCATAAAACGTCCGCTATAAAATAAAAAAAAAAAATAAGAATACTATACTTTTTGGGCAGACTCTGAAACAAGTATCTCGACTAGAACAAAGTAATGATGCCTATTCAATTATTATTTTTATCTCATCATAATTAGTGCTGATATCATTTGCACTTACCATCCCGTACGGCCTCCGTCGTCATCAGATAATAATCAGAGAAAAACAAAAAAAAAAAAAGAGAAGATATGTAGACAAATCTGCTGTATAATACACATGATGATTTAATATTATTTTCCAAAGAAAATAGATACTTTTTTTTATATATGCGTATTAACCATGGAAAGTGGCAACGAATCACATTTTTTAGGTTCAAACCTACAAATATGTTTTATGAATGAGCCAACAAGTGATAATGATTGTGGACCCGATAGTGAGATTATCAATGGACACGAAAGAAAATATCATCAGGTAAATGAATCTTAGTCTCATGTGATGATGATTAAATCAGTCAGCTAAGAAAGTAAATAAAAATATTTTTCTTTTGAGATGAATCAGAAAGTATAAAATTCGTTTTTTTCTTCTACTTATTTAGATTCAATCACGTTTAAGAAAAAATCTCAAACAAAAAGTAAATGATAATTCTGATCAGTCATCAGTAAATGACACTGAGAATGTGGATAATGATAATATACTTACTAAACAAAAAAGGCTTAAAGTAAGTAAGATATTATTTAAAATTTATATATTTATTTTATTTATTGTTTAAAGGAGGAAGCTAAAATGGCTCTTGCTCTTATTCATCCAATGGCTAAAATGCAAGTTGAAATTGAACGACGAAAAAGAGAAAAAAAAAAATCACCAATATTTGATATTGTATGTTTGTATTCAAATATTTTCGAAAATAAAATATATATTTTTTTTCTATTTTTGATTATCATTTATTCGTTTAGATTGGTATACATAATTATGATGAAAAGTCCTTTACTCCACATATGTTAGAAGATATGAATATTGGACAATTACAAGTAATTGTAAATGATCTCCACTGTCAGATAGAAAGTAAATTGACTTGTTTTATATACTTTTACTTTTTAATTGTATATATATTTTTTCTTTTTCTCTTGCTCTAGATCACAATGATATTCTTATTCCATTGTTGATTGAACGAGATGAATTGCATATGGCACAAGACTCAATTCTAGTTGATATTGAAGATTTGACTAAGTCAGTATATTTATTCATTGATACTCATAAAGAGAATTAAATTTTATATAAAATATTCTCTTTTAGACGTTTGCAAGAATATGCTGCTAATATAACATTCGGAGCAACAATTCATTCAGACAATTCAAAACCTAATCCACAACGTGTATTTATCATTAAACAAGATACAAATAAAGAAAAAAAGAAATCATCGTTGCTACATCGTTTACTACGTAAAGCAACTGTCATTTGATTCCAACTGATAAATTATGCAATTTACTCTGATTCAAATAATTAATATTACACTGTGAAAGACAAAATGAAGGAGTGATATGTTGAAAATTTAATATCCGTCTTTTTTTTCTATTGAAAATGTCTCGTTTATCCAATGCTCGTTCTATCATAAAACAATGTTTGTCATATAATTGAATATTTCTATATCCCTTGAACGGATAATTAAAAATTAATATTTCTTATTTTTTTGTTTTATTATTTCATGAAAATAAGTTCTATTGAATGTTTCCATGTTGAAATTAAATTATGTTTTCTTGTAGAATTTATATTAACAAAAGAAATGTTTTCTTTCTTTTTCAAAATCTTATTTCAAAGTTCAGTTTTATATTTATGCTGCGTTTTTAAATCGAGTTTTCCGGTTTTTTAATTGGTTGTTTGTTTAAACAATTCTTAATGCTATGCATTTGTTTCTCTTAATTAGACGATACGTTTGATATAAAATAAATTGCACAATGGGCAACCATGTAGACATTAGGCGAAAAAATGAAAGTACGCTTTTTAATGTTTTGAATAGTGTCAAATATACTTCGATTAACGGCCTATTTAATGGCATAAAAATTGTCATTTCAGCTATCGCGGTTAACTGAAAAAAGGCAGTTGAAAATTATATTGAAAAACGTAGAGTGAACTGAAGAATAATATTTTTTATGGATTGTGCGAAGTGTTCTTAACACATTAGCTGCCAATGCATCACGCCGTCAAAAAAACTTACATTATGATGTGATACATTGGCAGCTAACGTGTTAAACAATTCATATGTATTGAAACTAGATTTCATGCTCTATCGATTCGTAAAAAAAGTTTTTGTTGGCGTCAGAAAAAATAATTTTTCTATCTACGCTAAGTATTTTCCAAAAAGCTGTATTTAGTAAACTGCGCCCGTCATGCTTAGCCATGATTCAAACTCGATGAAACTTTCGCGAGATGTTCTTCTCCATATGATACATGTATAATATTAGCCAAACACTCCTGGGCTAACTTAGGTTTTTCACGTAAGATCCATTTATTTCGTCCAGAAACACTTCGAGACAAAAATAATGACATATTTGGAACCAACGTGAAAAACTGCATCGAATCCTGTGTCTTTCAACTACTTTTGACAAACAGAAAATTTTCGACTTAAGGGGGATGTATCTCCCTCCCTCTTTTTTATTTGAGAATGTTGTACAGTTCGATGGGCCACGCCACAATATAACTTTATGGGGTCACAAATGTAAAAAAAGGAAGAAAAATTTTGTAACTCAATTTTCATCAATGTATTTTGAAAAGAACCTTGCCAAAAACGGTACATGGTGGAAAAGAATGTTTGGTACAAAAAATGTGCGCAATGGCCGACTGCGGGTGGTAACGTTGTCTGATTCTTGACGTTTTCTTCCATATATTTTAAATTTAAATTCTTTTAAAATTTAAAATTTAAAAAAGTTTAAATTTAATTTTTTTTCAAAATTTTTCTATTACTTCTGAAAGACAGATTGTAAGTAGCCCAAGGTGTTTTCTACAATTCTGCGCAAGGCCGACCTCTCTATCTATTGTGGTTCTCGAATGGCAGGCATTTACCCGACAAAATGATAACGAATTCGGGTGACTCAGAAAAATGCCTGCCATTCGAGAACCACAATAGATAGAGAGGTCGGCCTTGCGCAGGATTGTAGAAAACACTTTGGGCTATATAGTCACCATGTTGAAATTAAACATCGACCGCAAGTTCAGAATCCGGTAACCTCATCGCTTTTGCTCTGTCAGGTCCACCACCTGACAAACCGTGATTTTAGCACAAAATATATAAGAGATAGAGTAAAGCCTTCTCTAGAAAATGCTGAAAACGAGAACTCTCTATCTCTTTCCGTTCTCGAGTTATTCTAGAAAAATCCATAGTAGAAACCCCGTTTGACTAAAACCGAGTACAAATAGCTGCTTATCGGTAATATTTTGAAAAGGCAAATACAGGAATTTGTAGTGCTTGGAAATCTCTGTCGAATGACGTATTGCTTTACCGTTTCCAATAAACCATTAATTTGCAAATAAAAGGGTAAGGCATCAGAGTGATATTAATTGGTATTCATTAGCATTGATTAATTATAAATTATTTTTTAAAAAAACATTTTTCTTCAAACCATAACAACAGACCATTGGCTATCGAGCAATGCATGAATGACTTTTCTACGATTATTTTTGACTGAGCTATAAGCTTTTTAAAATGAGGACTAGGACTTTAGACCTTACTTAAGATTTAAACTTAATTAATTAATAACTCTAGGAATACTTGCCAGTTCATCGAAAGAACTTAAGGATACATGTAGTCAGGTGTCCTCTTTAAACTGGCGAAGTCTGAAGGTACATATAGGGGGGGTGGATCCCCTTAAGTGAATTATAAGGATAAAAAGCTGTTTTTTCTTTTGCTGTCTTTTCCTTCGTCCGCAACGATGTTAAACTAGGTTAATGATGTTTGGTGATGGTATGTTGTGCTTAAGGAGCCGAAATAGGTCTTGGATCTTTTGGATTTTGTGCATAGCAACTTGTTGATGGCTTAGCAGTTGAACGGCTTAGCTCAGAGGCTTCGTATGATACCCCCTGACTCTTTGCAGTTCTGAGCAGCCGCTAAGTCATTCTTCCAGAGTCACATAAATGAGTTTTTATATTTTACGAATGTTTCTGGAACTCCCACTTAGCCCGAAGCGGTTTATCTAGAAGGGCAGGAGGTTGAGGATGCTCAAAATTTGTCCCTAAAGAGGGTCCCATGACGTTACGGGATATGGGCGGGATTCTTCAGGACGCATGGAGCGCCAGATTACCGTCAGGCATAGAAACCGTGCGTAGGTTCCCCCTGGTCTGGCAATCTGTGTGTCTGCGGGTTACCGTAATTCCACCATGCACGGACGACATGTGAATCCGTAGTACAGATGTGTGGGTGCCGCGGATGTCAGATAGTTAGATGATTGCTAACTGTAGTCTGAATGGCATCCGTGGTCACGGTCGATGATTCAAACAAACGCAGATAACTACCAACACAATGAGTACAGTCTCTAAAACTGCTGATGAAAAGAAGGAGGCAACTTTACACCAACTGTATGTCATCTTTTATAATTGTGATAGTGATTCGAATTTAGTAGTTGCAAAAGTATGTGCCATTTTAGATGTCGATGAGAGCGATAATTTTAACTTTGATACACACCCACACAATCAAAAGGAAAAGTCTCATTTTTTTATTTTTTTTTGCAGTATCAAATAATCTTTCTGCCAATCAAGTGTTAGACTAGTTACTACGCCAACGTAATTATTTGAATAATAAAGAACTCACAGACATCGGGCAACAACTATACGGCAGCGGCAAGCTTAAAGACAAAAAATGAATTCGATCTAGATGAAACTATTGCGTTTAAATAACATTTAGATATAAGCAGGAACCAACTAGATTTCGTAAAATCGTTTTGTAATCCATATATTAAAATACCTAACAGAGAATACGTACGTGAATACTCCAAAAAGCTAACACCGTTAATTTCTCCGTGGAGAACTAACACAAGAATACGCGTACAGGATCGTGAGCACGTTATTCGATTAACTATAAAATGACTAATCGAAATGTTGAATAAACAACATATAGTTGTGCCTACAACTCTTGAATATCGTGAAAAGATAGGACACGACGGCACCGGAATGATGGCTATGAAATCAGTTGACACACCAATGGAGAACGCTAATATCTTTAGCAAAATGTTTGGACGAAAGTTTTTTTCATATGAGTTGAGAAATTCGATTGTTGGCAAACTGCCTAGAACAAAATAACTTTAAAAAAATAATCCACCTTTATTGTTATGTTGCGATTAGACTCATTGACCGAAGACATCAATGTGACGAAATTTAAGCAGCTAACAGTCAATTTTGCTCTGCTAATAGCGCAAAAATTTGCTTGGGTAGAATACTCAATGACCGTTCATAGTCTCGTCTTCCATTCAGCATAACTGATTTTCATGAACAACAGTGTCGACCTAGAAGAACTTAGTGAAGAAGCACTCGATCTACAAACAAAGATGTCCCAAACTTTCGAAAGTTCTTATTTAGAAAATGTGGCTATTTGGATAATATAACCAATGTTTTCAATCGTCTATTTCTTTGTAGCGATCCTGTAGTCAAATATATCGTACAGACTTCGTGTGCAAAACGAAAAGAAAATATAATCTCCACCGCTGCCATTGAAGATGATAGCTTATTTGAAAGCATGATAGAAATTGAATCGTAAGAAGAAAAAATGTCGCTACACAATGGGCATTTTTTGCGAGAGCAGGCGGACTTTAGCTTTAGGAGTGAACTAAAATTTCATGAACCATTTTTTTATAGGTTTTTCATGATCCTCTTTCTAATGGCATGAGAGTTGGGTTTTGAAAAAGTTTTCTAATGAGTTTTCCAGAGATCCGGTCTCTGAAAAACCCTTCAGAAAACCTTCTCAATATTTAAAAACGATGCCACTGGAAAGAGCATTGTCGAAAACCTATAAGAAACACGTTGCGACTCGTTCAGGTTACTTTATCTTGAAATTCAAATTTTCAGCACGAAATTGTTTGTGTGAATCTCAAAAACTAAGAAATCTCTAGAATTCAAAATCGAGCTACCGAAACTAGATGAGTTATACACCATTA